CAGAGACGTGATCTTCGACGAGACTGCAATGCTTCAAAGGAGGGGTCTTGAGACACAACCAGCAGAGCAGATAGATCGTGGTGTCAGCAGTGAGGTGGAGATTCAGGTGGAGACTCCGGAGACCTCGAAGGTAATAGAAGCTGAGATTACATATGAGACCGCAGTTCCTGAAGTCGGTGATAATGAACAATCAGTAGAGCCGCGGCACACTATAGCCGCGGGTAGACAGAGAAGGCAAATTAAACCATCGGTACGTTATGGTTATACAGATATTGCTTATGCATTGACTGTAGGTGACGAGGTGGAGACAGATGAGCCTTCGTCTTACTCTGAGGCGATGGCGAGTTCTGAGTCGTCGCAATGGATAAGGGCTATGAGTGAAGAGATGGAATCACTTCATCGGAATCAAACATGGGAGTTGGTCAAAGTACCTAAGAGCCAGAAGATTGTCGGTAGCAAGTGGGTCTTTAAATGGAAAGAGGGCATTCCCGGTGTCGAGGCAGCGAGATATAAGGCGAGACTTGTGGCGAAGGGGTATACACAGCGGGAGGGCATTGACTACAACGAGGTGTTCTCTCCTGTGGTAAGACATACTTCTATTCGTGTTTTACTTGCCTTAGTTGCTGCACAGGATCTCGAGCTGGAGCAGTTAGATGTGAAAACAGCGTTTCTTCACGGTGAGTTGGAGGAGCGGATTTACATGAGGCAGCCAGAGGGATTTGCTATTCCGGGTAAGGAAGATCATGTTTGTTTATTGAAGAAATCTTTATATGGGCTGAAACAGTCTCCTAGGCAGTGGTATAAGCGTTTCGATTCTTTCATGGCTAGTCAGAACTATTCCAAAAGTCATATGGATAGTTGTGTTTACTATAGGAGATTGGAGGATGGGTCTTTGATATATCTGTTACTATATGTTGATGATATGTTGATAGCAGCTAAGAATATGTCCGATATTGTTGTGCTGAAGAGGCAATTGAGTGCCGAATTTGAAATGCAAGATTTAGGTGCTGCAAAGAAAATATTGGGTATGGAGATTTTGCGTGACAGGACTGTAGGAATTTTACGTCTTTCTCAAAAGAAATATATTGAGAAGATTGTTGCACGATTTAATATAATACAGTCAGCGAAATTTGTAAGTACACCTTTGGCGATGCACTTTAAACTTTTAGATAAGTTATCACCACAGACTAAGGAGGAAGAGGAGCATATGTCCCGTTTTCCTTATTCTAGTACAGTGGGTAGTATTATGTATGCTATGGTATGCACTGGGCCTGATATTTCACAAGCAGTGAGCGTTGTTAGTCGTTATATGAAGCGTCCTGGTAAAGCTCATTGGGAAGCTGTGAAGTGGATCCTCAGATATTTAAAGGGGACAGCAGACGTTGGAATTGTGTACCGAAGGGACAATAATGGCAGTGAGACCACTGGTTATGTGGATTCGGATCACGCAGGTGACTTGGATGAACGCAGGTCTTTAGCAGGGTACGTATTTACGCTAGTAGGTGGTGCAGTTAGTTGGAAGGCATCCTTACAGGATCACGTTGCCTTATCTTCGACTGAGGCAGAGTACATGGCACTGACCTTTATAGCGAAAGAGGCGATATGGCTAAAAGGTTTTCTCTCGGACTTTGGGTTAGATCAGAAAAGTGTTGATATACACTGTGATAACCAAGGTGCGATATATCTGGCATACAATCCGGTTTATCATGAGCGAACGAAGCATATCGACATCAGGTACCACTTCATCCGAGATGTCTTAGCGAAGGGTGTAGTTGTTGTTAAAAAGATTGCGACAGAGAAGAACCCAGCGGACATGATGACTAAGCCTGTTCCTTTGGCGAAGCTCAAGCTCTGCTTGAGCACAATTGGCGTCTGTGGAGAGTGAGCGCTTGTCGGTGCGCTGGGAGAGCAGCATGGAAGAGGAGCACTATAACTTGGCTACAAACATCGAGCCAAGGTGGAAAATTGTTGAATTTATGTCTCGAGTTTGAATCGTTTACGCAGCGTGACTCGCTTAGATAAATTTCATATTTATCGTGAAGATATATATATTTTCTTTTGGAGAAAATATTCAAAATTGCCTATAAAAGAAATCCTTCTGATGGCACGTAAAGTGAAGGACGTCTTCAACGGAGTAGGCCCTGGTCAAAGTTATTCTTTGTTGACTCTTGGAATTAAATAATAAAATAAAAGAGAAAGATGGGCACACGTATAAAAGGCATGTTATCTTCTCCGAGGGTTTTGAAGCTGCACACGCATAGAGCCGCACTAGCCGCGAATGCCCACGAAGTTCTCAGAGAAGAATCGCCGCACGAGAACAAGAGAAAAGAACATACAGTCGTTCTTGGTTTCGATCGTACAAGAGCATTTCGCTTTGGGCTTCAACACGCGGAGATTTGTGCAGTGAGTTTATTTTGTCCAATTAAGTTGTTTATTCGTAAACACTTTGGGTTTGGGCTTAAACGTAGGTGTGGGAAACACTCGAGCGTATGAGCGAATTGTAACTATGATTCTCCGATTATAGTGGATTATTTGTTGCTGGCTCTCCTCGTGGATGTAGGTACCGATATTCGGACCGAACCACGTAAATCTCTGGTGTCCTTTATCGTTCCTTGTTTATTTCTCTGGTATTTTCGCATTGACTTAATTTGCAAGATCCTGTCATTTCCACATTATATTTCCAACAATAAAATAATTAGCACACTATAAACTCCCCTTTGGGCAAAGTATATAATGCCCCACTATTTTCCATAGCATGAAGATTACAACAACAAGGAGAATTACACATAATTGTCAAGGACCCATCCCCTTTGGGCAGACAAATCCTTTAAATTATACATCTCCATTATATCACTATAGAGGGAAATTACACATAACTTTCAAAAAAAAAAATCATCCCCTTTGGGCAGATAAATCTTTCGAGTTATACATCCCCATCTATTAACATGGGTACTTATCTTCATGCAATTTTCAAATTAATACACACAATAACCCCCTTTGGGCAGGTGATTGTATATACTAATTCTTATCAATAAGGAATTGCAAAAGTTCCATTCAAACAATGCCCATAATTCCATTAGACAATATGAAGCACTTTACGACATGTGCTTCTAAGGATCGTATTGCATTTAACAATAACGTGGCAATTACAAGGCGAACAAATTATTAGCCACACATGAACAAAGCTATTTTAGATAATCAGATCTCAGCTTTATGCAACCAAGATGTTCAGAAACATGTAGATAGCGACATTCAATCGAAAGAAAATCGAAATCTTAGGATTCATTCAAAAAACATGAACCCTAGAATCGGAAGTAATCAAGAACTTGTTGAATATTCGAGTAAAAATACGATTTTTATTAATTTTATGGATTCTACAATCATATATGACCAAGCTCTGATACCACATGTAAAGAATTTCTCAATATATATACATTAATTCTTAAAGAACAATTAGATCCATATATGAATGTAGATCACCATAAGAAAAATAATAATAATAATACACACAGCAGAATTAAAGCGTATCTGTTTGAACCATTGTTATTCTCTAAGAAAAGAAATAGATCAACGATCTACTGGAATGCCGATCTTCCTCTCTTTGGCCTATTTCGATATAGCAGCTTTCAATGGGATAAAGCGACCAATAGATATAACCTACCCTTTTATAGGCTAGAGAGGGGACCTAGCAAACCTAATCATTAGTGCATTAACTGGGCCCCTCCCATCACAGGCTTCAGTTAAACACAATTGCCTACACTTTGCTACTCAACTAGGCCTATTATTTATAGATGCCGAAACCCAATTCAATAAGATCACTAAAGGGTACAACACATATATTGGAATATCCATTAACCCGAGTATTTAAAATAGAAAATCAATTAATTAATGTAAGCCCATATTATAGGAAATTTCCAACATTATATTCATAAAGTCTCAATTCGCTTAATGGCTAAAGTTTTTTAATTGGACTTTCTAATTTCGTCTATCATTTCTTTTGATTGTTAGGTCACAAAGATTGACATCCTTTACACTTAATTATAGCTAAGTTTGGTGCGAGTGATGACGATTGCATGTAACTGGCGAATGAATTATGATTGGAGTAAAACATGACCCAGAAAGAAACTTAGATTTCGTTTGTTTTACGAAACATGAATGATTTGAAAAATATTTTTCTAAATTAATTACTTGTATCGCTTGAAATAATTAGTCAATGAAATATGTTTTCGGTATCGACAACAATTTATGTCTAAATATTTTCATGAATAATAAAATAATTTTCATTTATTCATTTTTATAAGCGATAGCAGCAAGTATTTTTCGAAACAAACGGAGCTATACCTATTGGCTCTGTTGGAGTTGGTGGGCTGATGGGGGTGGGGGTTTTATAAAATCTTTTCTTATGATGAAGTGTTGCTCGTGGAAGATTTCGACAGTTAACTGATCACTCATGGCTCTATCCTTCCTTCCTAGGTATCCGATTCAACTCTAGGGCATCTTTTATGCGTGTTCAACGCTTGCTCTTGCTTAATCATGAAAGCAATTTGGGAAATCTTTTTTTATCTTTCAAGTGGAAGAGACCTTTTCGAAATCATTTTTTATCTTTCAAGTGGAAGAGACCTTTTCGAAATAATTTTTTATCAGTATTTATCCCCCTCGATTTTCATGCGGTGTGGACCGCGTGATGTTCACGCCGTTAGTAACGTTAACTATATGGAATTTAAGATTGCCTTACAAAAATCAGATACTAAACTGACATGTTCGATTGTTGATCAAGAAATAAACAAATTACTTGTATTTAATTCTGAAGTTACTGTATTAGATAACAACCAAACGGATTAACTGTACTTACCATAGTGAGTTTTTACTTGTCCTTTTCAGTCAACATGGTTCCTTTTGCCATTTTCCCAGCACAATGCACTACGTTGTCGTGATTATATCATTCACGTCTTTATATGACTTCGCCTCGCAAGGACCATCTTATTATCTCCAAAATTCACCAAAACCTAGTCCTCTAAAGCTAGGTCTGGCTGTGCATATCTCGATCTTGCTCGTCTTCGTCTTCGTCTAATTCGTCTTCCAATTCGTGGCATCGATCATGTCGGATTCGGAACTTCCACTGGAAGAAATCCCGGGAGATTACGGTTTCCCATTCTTTGGCGCGATTAGGGATCGTCTCGATTACTTTTACTTCCAAGGAAGAGATGAGTTCTTCCGAGACCAGATGCGCAAGTACCGGTCGACGGTCTTCAGGGCCAACATGCCGCCCGGCCCGTTCATCTCCTCGAACCCCAATGTCGTCGTCCTCCTTGACGCGATCAGCTTCCCCGTCCTCTTCGACACATCCATGGTTGAAAAGAGGAATGTGCTCGACGGCACATACATGCCCTCCACCGCCTTCACCGGCGGCCACCGTGCCTGCGCCTTTCTCGACCCGTCCGAGCCCAAGCACGACGCCATCAAGCGCTGGTTCTTGTCCCTTGTCACGGCTCGGCGCAACATGTTCATCCCGACCCTCAGGAGCTGCTTGTCGGATCTCTTTGTCAACCTAGAGGATGAGCTATCGAGCAAAGGGAAAGCGTCCTTTAACTCCCTCAACGACAAAATGTCCTTCAACTTTGTGTTTAGGCTACTATGTGACCAAGAGCCCTCGAGCACAATCCTAGGGACCAAAGGAGCAACGATGTTCGACCTATGGATATTTCTCCAACTTGCGCCATTGTTGTCCCTAGGGTTTAACAACAAGGTCCTAAATTTCTTGGAAGATGTCATGTTGCACACTTTCCCACTACCTCCACTCTTAATCAAATCATCTTACAAGAAGCTTTACCATGCATTTAGCGAGCATGCGACTTCCGTTTTAGATGAAGCCGAGAGGCTAGGAATTGATAGAGACGAGGCATGCCACAACCTAGTGTTCCTTGCCGGGTTCAACGCCTATGGTGGCATGAAAGCCACATTGCCCATCTTGATCAAGTGGGTCGGGTCGGGAGGCGAGGACCTGCACTGCCGGCTCGCGAGGGAGATCCGGTCGACCGTCGAGTCAGAAGGCGGGGTGACCCTCGCCGCCCTGGACAGGATGAGCCTGACCAAGTCGGTCGTGTACGAAGCCCTCAGGATCGACCCTCCGGTCCCGTTCCAGTACGGGAGGGCGAGGCAGGACACGGTGGTCCGGAGCCACGACGCGGCCTTCGAGATCAAGAAGGGCGAGATGGTGTTCGGGTACCAGCCGTTCGCGACCAAGGATCCGAGGGTCTTCGACGACCCGGAGGAGTTCGTGGGCGACAGGTTCGTCGGGGAGGGGGCAAAGCTGCTGAGGTACGTCTACTGGTCGAATGGCCGGGAGACCGATGATCCGACGGTGGGGAACAAGCAGTGCGCGGGGAAGGATCTGGTGCTGCTTGTGTGCAGGGTAACGTTGGTGGAGCTGTTCCTCCGCTACGACACGTTCGACGTGGAGTGCGGGAGCTTGCCCGTGGGTTCATCCGTGACGTTCAAGTCGTTGACCAAGGCCACAAGTTGTTGACCCTGCGTCTGCCGCTGATAAAGAACTTAGCATGATTTAATTGTATGATTGTGACGTGTGATTTTCAGTGTGTTTTTTTTTTAAAACTAGATCGCAGCGATTGGAAGTGTTTCTAATTTTTCAAATTACATAATTTGGGTCACTATTTAATAAATTGATTGTCTTACAATACTTTTTTCGATGATAAGCGAGCGTCAACATTGTGATTAAATATTTTCTTTTTCTACGTCGTGATTAGCTCACTCTATTATTTTGGAATAGTACAATGTATCTACGAAATACGTTATCCTCCTTGTAACTATTGCAATTAAGACGTGAGCTTAATAAGTACCAATCTGGCTTAACTTCATGCTTTTTGAAAAAAGTAAAGTGGAAAGTATATATATACACTTAAATTTTCGAATTGGCACTAGTATTGAACTTTTAAGGGTTAATACCATGAAAAACCCTAAACTGGTACACTTATGACACATTTATCCCAAACTATTTTTTTGACAATAAAAACCCCAACCTAGACATCTGTGACAATTTTACTCGAACTATTTTTTGACCACCAAAACCCAACGAGTACACTGCATGACAATTTTACCTGAACTTACCACAAAAACCCTAACCGTCACGTGACAATTTTACCCCAAACTAATTTTTAATATTATTTTTTTTTTATTTTTTTGAATTTTTTTGAATTTTTTCTTTTTTCTTTTCTTTTTTTTTTCCTTCACCTTCAACCTCTGGCCGGTCGCCGGACCGGCGACCGGCCAGGGTTTGAAGATGAAAAAAAAAAAGAAAAGAAAAGAATAAAAAATAAATAAAATTTCGAAAAAAATAAAAAAGTAACCGGCCAGAGGCGGAAGATGAAAAAAAAAAGAAAAGAAAAGAATAAAAAATAAATAAAAATTCGAAAAAAATAAAAAGTAATATTAAAATTTTAATTCAGGGTAAAATTGTCACATATGTACCAGTTTGGGGTTTTTTGTGGTAAGTTCGGGGTAAAATTATCACAGGTGTACCAGTTTGTGATTTTTTGTGGTCAAAAAAATAGTTCAGGGTAAAATTATCACAGGTGTACCAGTTTGAGGTTTTTTATGGTAAAAAAAATAGTTTATGGTAAATGTGTCACAAGTGTACCAGTTTAGGATTTTTCGTGGTATTAACCCAACTTTTAAATTATTATCATATCATCCGGAAGAAGGTAACTTTTCCAAATTTTTATACATAACCTTCATGAAGTAATTGAAAAAGGGGCATATGATGATTATGGGAAAGAAACAAGAGGCATACATAATTTGAGGAGGAAAAAGAATGCTACCATAAACGAAGATGAGACAAAATTTAAAAAAAAATCCATAAAATCAACTATTGAAAAGGTAAATAATGGATGTGGGAAGATTCGAAGACAAAACATTTTGTATCCGTACCACATTCAATCGAGGAATTACTTTTCAAAATCATTCGACTTGTCGTGATGACAAATGCTAACCGAGGAGATCTATTTTATGCTCAATGGACTACCTTGCAGCCATATAATAACAAAAAAAGTCTTTTTCTCTCCCTCTCTCTTTTCTCTCCATCGTCTTTTTCAACCTTCGGCCGTGGGGTAGAGTAGCTCAAACTCTCCCCTCTCTCTCTTGTTGATTTTGTTTGAATTTTTTTGTTATTTTCTTTTTCTTTCTTCTCTCCTGATCTAGATCTGGGAGCTCTCTTATCTCGGTTTAATTCTAGATCTGAGAATTTGAACTCTGCCAATTTAGATTTGGGAGTTTAATAATATTTATAGGGATTCGCTACCCCCATGCTCTGTCTATGTACACGTTCTCTGCCTTAAGTTTCAATGGTGATCGCAAGAGCTCTGGCGTCTCGTTGAACTACGAAGATTTGCTCTTCTGAAAGTTAAAATTGTGTTTATTCAATTTGTTTTGATTGTCTCTGTACGACAATTGTGTAGAGGAAGCCGAACCTAGGCGCACACCACCAACTGGCAACGCTGTACTTATTGGAGAAGAAACTTTAGGCGTGTGCTCATCATTGATAATAATACGAAATTTAGTGATCGGCCGTCGATTATTTTGCTTGACATATCCAATCCGTTTTTATGGAACAAGTGTGTGCTTAACTGATACTCTGTTGATCCTCCTTATTTTTTGGATTTGACTTTGTTTGTAGTATTCTGGGCTTGCTTTACTTTTCATGTATCCTTTTGAGTAATGAACACAATTTTCTTTCGAAAAAAAGAAGAAGAAGCTACCTTGCAGTCAACAACCGCATTATTTGTTTTGACCACAATTATCCGTTAGTAGCCGACATGGTCCAAGACAAAAAAAAAAAAGAATTACCTTATACTTGTGAGACTTACTCGATTTCGGACATGAAGAAAAAGGTTCTTAAATGACACGAAGTAATGTGAAAGACGGAACTGAATTTCGATCGATCAAGAAGATGTGAATTAATGTTTAAAAGGTCGATAATGACTTGCGGAAAAAGCCGTGTCGGGAATGTACCGTGAACAAGGGTCGTGAAGTCGTTGCGTACCTTTTGCCAATGAGGTACACTATTTGCGTCCTTCTAATTTAGACCATGACCAATTCATAGACCTGAACTTGACCAATGGCACAAATACAATTCACAGATAGTTCATCTAAGATCTTTACCTTTGTTTCCTCGTTCACAAAGTGGCCTTGCACGACTAGGCAGATGAATAGACTTTGCTATTGCCTTATAATGCTAAAAAGGTCGTCGTTCCATACTTCTTCTGCAGGTATGGGTAATCAAAGCTGAAGAAGTCCATTGTGTTCAAGTCCATGATGTGAAAGAGCCGGTGTACGAGCTGACCGCCAACGCGCATACCGCATGCTTCATTTCTCAAGGAACCGGGGTCAAGGTAAGTGCTACTTTTCACACATACTTATTGATCTGATTGGCACGAGGACAAGGATAGTAGCCAACTCCCTATGCAATTTCAGGTATATAATTGGTCAGGGACTCCAAAGCATATAAATTTCAACAACAACAGAACGGCACGGTGCCTCGCCATGGCCGGGGGTAAGCTCTACTGTGGCTGTTCTGGATACAGCATCCAGGTACAACACTAGATATCTTTGCATTCTCGCAATTAACAAATCAACAGTCACAAATCTTCGAGCATGCTACAATGTCGTAGGAGGTGGACTTGGCAAAGTCGACATCGGGTACGTTCTACTCAGGGACTAGGAAGTTGCTTGGGAAGCAAACTATTCATTCCCTGCTTATTCACGATAGCCTTCTCTTCGCCGGCGGTTCATCCGTGGATGGAACAGCGGGAAAGGTACGACTTTCATTGCCCACAGTCCATTCATATAAAATTCGACTGATAAATGAGTTAAAACTAATGTTTTCTGAACTTGAGCATGGAAGGTATTCTCTCTGCCCAGTAAGGCCATAAGCGGGTCGCTCTCGACGGGGTTCGACATCCAACGGATGGCAGTGAGCAACGACTTCATTTGCTGTCATTCCACGTGAAAAGGGAGAAAAAGGTGGGTTGCGTACCTTTTGCCAATGAGGGAACAGTCCTAACTCCATGAGATTGCGAAATTATGCCACGCCTTTTGGCAACGAGGGACCAGTACTAACCCATGAAATTGTTCCGCACCTTTTACAACACTTGTAAGTTGCGTTTGTTTCATGAAAAATTCAAGATTCAAAAAATATTTTTTGAAAAATGATCACATGCATCGCTTATAAAAATGAATGAATAAAAAATATTTTCATCACCCAAAAAAATAGTTAATCATAAATTGTTGTCGATAATGAAAACATTTTTCATTGATTCATTTTTTTGAAAGATATAACATCATTTTTTTGAAAGATATAACCAATTATTTTTTGGAAAATATTTTTCAAATATTAAATTTTTCGTGAAACAAATGCTCGTTTAGCGTGCTATATTGAAGATCGAGTTGGGTAAGTTGTTTGAGTTCGCTTTTTGGCCTCAAGATTCATCGTTTTCAATTGGGGACTCTGGATAATCAAAATTTAGGCCTTCTAACTTTTTCCATGGAGAGAAATGGAAATGTTAAAAAAGAAAAGAAAAGAAAAGAAAAGAAAAGAAAGTACAAGTGGGTTTGATGACCTTCATGAGGAGCAGCAACTATCGAATTATAGTTTCGACATCAAATTGTTTTTCGACGAGAAACGGAACGTAAACATAACACAGAACATAAACGTAACTTAACATGAGAAAGATAGCTTATACTACCGTTTGAAATGAAACACACAAAATGCATTTTGGTATAAGGAGGTAAAGGGTGTTGTTGAGATGATATTGGAAGGAATGCAACAAATTGGACTGCCCTTTATTCACGGTGGGCGACAAGTTTAGGGTGAAATTTTGACATAGATAAGCAAAAGGGTATGAAGGGATAGTTACCAAGAAAAAAGGTCATAAATCTATTGAATAGCGGTCAATTCAGCCCTATACTTTTCAATATGGCAATTTGAAGTTGAAATCATTTGTTAGTCCGGTCTTCAAAATTGTCTATCTGCAGGACTTCTTGGTTCATGTTGAAGTAGGTTGAATGTCCAATGATCTCCCCCCGATTCCCCTCCTCTTTTGGGTTATTTCCAAGGCTCCTGTATAAAGTCTCCTTTACAAATACGGTGCATTGCATATGCTTTAAGTGTCCTATCTTCAATTAGCATCGGCAAACCACATTCCATGCTATCTTCAGGAACTAATACTGAGAGAGGGATTTCTCCAAATTTACGACTCTAGGAGTGGAACGTCCGTGTATGCGATATTTGTAAAGTACGTCCGTGTACGCGATGTTTGTAAGAATATTTAGTTTGTGCCTATGTTTTCACTTAGTTACGGGCCCACGCTATTGAGCTCGGATTCATGTTTCCACTGTGTCTATAGCAAGTATAGCAGGACATGCAAGGAAACATTTTGAAATTTGATCAAGTTATGGATCCGTGTGTAGAAACCAAGTCACTTTATTATAACCGCGAAAGCATTAGAAATAGCCAAAACTTACGTTACACTCAACAAGCTAGACAATTTTTCCTCCAATGGACGCTCTGAGTGGCGTATACCGTACACGTAACATGGGGAATAGTGACACTAGAAGTGCCAAAAGCTGTGTACGGTACTCACTTTAGTGTCAAAAATTTTCGCCGGCTCACTTAAATGCTAAATTGGAGAAAAAAACTATCACTTAAGTGCCACCGCGAAAAATTCCAGCCAAATTAATTACGTGACTTTTATAATTAAAATTTTAATTTGAGTTGGCTTTTTTTTAAAAAAAATCAATGTATATGGCATTTTCATATGTATATTTGTTGCTTCTCTCCCTCCACGTCCACCCTCCTTCCAAAGTCCAAATTCTACCTTCCCTCTCCCGTTTCCATGGAACCCTAGCCCTCCGCAATCACGGGAAAATTACCAAAAAGTCCTAAACCTTTTGCAATTGTGCCAATTCAGTCCTAAACCTTTTTTTTGGCCAATTCAGTCCTAAACCTTTTGCAAACCAGCCAATTCAGTCCTTTTGGCCGGCCGGTGCTGACGTGGCCGCCGGCCGGCGTCCACGTGGTAATATTTTATTATTATTTTCGAATTTTTTTTCCTTTTTTCTTTTTTTTTTCTTTTCCTTCTCCCCCCTGGCCTGTCCGGCCAGGGGGGAGGTTCGCCGGCGAGGGCCCAGCTTCGGCAAGGAGTGCTGGGCCCTCGCCGGAGCTGGGCGAGGCTCACCTAGCGGTGGCGAGGGCGGAAGGGCGAGCTCCGCCTCGCCAGATCTGGGTGAGGGCGGAGCTCGCCCAGCCATGGCGAGCTCCGCCTCGCCGGAGCTGGGCGAGGTTCGCCTAGCGGGGGCAAGGGCGGAGCTCGCCCAGCCATGGCGAGCTGGGCCCTCGTCGCCGCTGGGCGAGCCTCGCCCAGCTCCGGCGAGGTGGAGCTCGCCCAGCGGCGGCGAGGGCCTAGCTCGCCTCGCCGGAGCTGGGCCCTCACTGGCGAGCCTCCCCCCTGGCCGAACAGGCCAGGGGGGAGAAGGAAAAGAAAAAAAATAGATAAAAGGAAAAAAAATAGAAAATAATAAAAAATATTAAAATATTATCACGTGGACGCCGGCCGGCGCCACGTCAGCCGGCCGGCGGCCACATCAGCGCCGCCGGGCCAAAAGGATTGAATTGGCTGGTTTGCAAAAAGTTTAGGAATGAATTAGCAAAAAAAAAAGGTTTAGGACTGAATTGGCACAATTGCAAAAGGTTTAGGACTTTTTTGGTAATTTTCCCTAGCAATCACTCTCCGACCCTCCGACGCCGATGACTTCCTCTCATGGGCCGGCGACGACAGAGTCACCCTCTACCTTCGCTGGGATTCCATCGCCTCCCTAGAGGCTGCCGAGTCGTATCTCCGGCCGTCACCATTCCCCACCTAAGGCATCGCTGCTTCTACATCGGCGACAGCTCCATGAGGTATGTCTCCGTCAAGCTCGGGTCTAGCGACGAGCGGTGCCACGCCTGCGTCGGCTACGTCGTTGGGGCCGAGTTCTGGGGGCAGGGGTTTGTGACAGTGGCACTAAGGATGGCCGCCCAGCCCGCCGCCGTTCAGGTACATCTCTGCCGAGCTGTACCCCGTGTGCTTGCTTGCTTGCTTGGCACTGAGGTGTGGGTTGATTTGGGTCTTGCGTATTTTCCTCTTTGATTTTGAGCTCAAGGTTGGTGTGGGAGGAGTCGAGACATGATTTGTGCATTTCTACGTATTCACGGCCTTGCGTTTGTTTATTTAAATATGCGTTTTCTCCTTGATTCTGAGCTTCCGGTTGGCGTCGAGCGCCTTATCACGTGAATCGAATCATTAGGTGTGCCTTGATTGTCTTGTTTTGTGAGATTTTTTTGGACAAACTGTGGTCAGAGATTTCACATCTGATTAGATTGGAGCTACAAAGTCGTGAATCGGGAAAGTAAATGGAGGCAGTGTTGTGATTTATCAACACCAAAGGCAGAGGCTTTCTTCTTTCTTAGGTCCTGTTTTGTCGCCGAGAAGATTGATCTAGATTTGTAAAGAGACAAAGGGTCATATGGTCAGGCCAATCTTTCATAGGGTGGATCCTTCTGATTGCGAAAGCAAACTGGCAAAACAGGGGATTATCTAGCCAAACATGAGGGTAGGTTTGGGAAAGATTCTGAGAGGGTCATGAAATGGAGGAAATCTCTTGAGGATTTGGCTAATTTGGTTGGGTGGCACTTCTCAAAAGGGTACCACTACTTCCTCCCTGTCGCGACCTACATGTCCCGATTGGGCTAGATCAAGAGGTATTTGTCGAAGGATGTGAACATTAATTGATTCATTTGAAGGACAAACTAAATAGTTTATTAATCCAAAGACCGAGGCACTCCCGAGTTTCGTACCTCGCGTGACGAGAGTTGCCTAACTTACGCATTTGATTGGAGTCGCCACTAAGCCATGATCAATGATCGGCTAGAAACCCTGATCGAGACGAGAGAGTGTCGTCTCAATACGTGCGAAAATTAGAGATTCTAAAATTCAGGGATTTGATTACACTAGCGATCTAACTAGTACAATTTCGGTACCTAAACTTGAATTTTCGCAAACTAATGTACCGGACAGTCTATCAAAAAAGCTAAGATTTCACCTAACCGTTCTAAAAATAGAAAATAACAATCAATGTATTAAAAATGCACAACCAGATAATCATAAAGGAAATAAATAACCAGCGATTTAGCATCATCTCTAGAAAGGAAAAGACAATCAAAAGCCCTAAGTAAAGACCTAATGGTTTATCCGATTTTTGAAAAAATTTTTAAAGGTTTTTCTCATTTTTCATTTTTTTGTGAGTTTCTAACCTAAAATCTAGTGAAATTAAGCCAGCATTTTCCGATTTTCTCGAATTTTTTGAATTTTTCTGAATTTTTCTGGATTTTTTAAATTTTTTGGATTTTTTAATTACTATTCATTTTTTAAAATTTTCTGAATTTTTTTAATGTTTTTCAGACTTTTTAATATTTTTTGGATTTTTAAACATTTTCGAATTTTTTTGGAATTTTAATATTTTTTTGAATATTTTTTTTAATGTTTTATTAATAAAATAAAATTTTCGGACCGGATCCCTGACCTGATCCGCCCGACACCTGACCCGGATTACTGACCCACCCGGAAACGCTTTTTCTATTTTTTATTTTGATTTTCCTTCTTTTCTTTTTCTTTTTTCTTTTATTTCTTTTCTCTTTTTCTAATTTTTTTTTTATCATTTTTGTTTCTTCTTCCCCTTCGTGCCTAGAAAGGCTTCTTCTTCCCGAGAGCTTCCTCCCCTGTTTCTTCATGGCGCCTTCACCGAGCCTTGCCGGGACCACGCCGAGGAAGCCCACCGCAGGTCGACGGCTTGGACAGCCAGCGTCGACGACCGGCACTGGCCGTACGACGTGACCGTCGGCCGCCTTTCCGGCAATGATACCGACGACTTACTCCAGTCACGGAACCGACATCAACGTGTAAAAATCGGATTTCTTGGCTCTCAAATTCTCGACCACCCCACAACAGACAGTAACACTGAACATACACGGACAAACACATCAAATGAAGATAGAGAGCTAACTGTTTCGCTCCAAATCGCGAGCACACCTGGCAACCGGTAATGAAACTTCCGACGAGGAGACGTACACACGCGGCCGACTCGGAGATGTGTGAACTGCGACGAAACGACATGAACGAAAGCAAGAAACTTGAAGTCAGTGACAATAACAGAGAAAATCGTGCATAAATCAACACTCTAGCGTATCGGTTTTCATGAAGTTCATCTCGGGTCTGACTTGGGCATTTGACCGCGCAGGTGCTGTGCGACTAAAACTACGGGTTTCTAAGTCGATTTCAGTGGGGTTTAAAGGTTTTTCTTGGTAGAGATCGTTCAAGAACGCATCCTGGAGATGCAAAGAAACATTTTCCTCGTCTTGTGGTGCCGGGCGACCACCAAATAGACTCGGTGTGCCCGGCACCCGAGAGGCACGGGAAGGGGGAAGCAAAAACAGGGGAGTTAAGACACCCACCTGTTCGTGGCTGTCCAAGTCGAAGCGCGGCGGCTGAGGGGCTCGGTGGCATCCCGGGTGGCCCTCCGGCGAGCGGGTAAGACTCGAAACTCTCTGATTTAGCTCGACTCTCTCTCGGCCTCCTCTTTCTCCTCTCGCTTCTCTCTTCAATCTTTCTCAGCCGGCGTCACCGGACTCGAACGTACGGCGGAGAGGGGGAAGAGATTCGCCCGGCCACCGCCTTGTCGATCAAGGGGGCCGGAACACTCTCCTCCAATCCCTCAATCCTCCATTTTCTCTCTTAGTTTTCTCTCCATCTCTCTTGGTTCTTCACCCCCCCTACTCTGTTTTCCCTCCTCTTCTCTCTCTGCTCTCTATCCTTTGATAAACACCCCCCCGGCCTTCTCTCTCCGTTGGGGGGGATTGTCCTCTCTTTTCCGCTCGGCTCGAGGACAATCGTCCTTTATTTTCGGGCTAGCCGAGATTCCTCGGCGGTTATCGCCGATTCCCCCCCGGCCTTCCCCCGTTTTTGTCTCTCTCACCTTTTGTCCATTCCGTTCTCTGCCTTCTTCGAGCGAGCGTGAGAATGGTTGAGCGGCTGGGCTGGGCTGAAGAGAAAGGAATGATGGAAGGTTGGGCCGAAAATAAAAAGGAGGGGGAGGATCCAAAGGTGGGCTGAAGAGAGAGGGAAAAGGAGGGGCCAAGCCCAGAGAGAGAGATAAACAAAATGGGCTGGGCCAAGCGAGAATTAAAAGATCGGAACTAGGGCTGATGGGCCGGGCTAGATTGGTCCGATATATATACTTCATTTATTTTAGTTTTAGTTTTATCTCTCTTTTGCACTAACTTGGCCCATTTACCATTCAAGCATTAATTCATCGCGGTGGGGCAAAATTAGGTGTCAACACTCTCTCTTTTAAGTTTGACAGAGTAGGTTGGATACACTTTTTCCTATGCTGGGGGTTTCCTAATTATTTCAGTGTTGAAATATACATATACAGTGACTCCTTTTGAAGTTATCTCTTTGTACTGAAGATTATAATGATTCTCTATGACTACTATATAACCTACTCATGTACAGATTGATGGCAATGTCAATATGACAAGTATATTGACGTAGCAATAAGCTGCAGTTGAATCTTCATTATAAATTTATTTCATGTCTCTTGCTGAAACTTGAAACTAATTAGTTTTATGTTCTTGGTACAATGGGACCTTTTCCTTTTCTTTTTCTGAGCTGATGCAATGGAACTTGCAGGGTTGAATCAAAGCTTATTCAGACAATTGTTAAAGAAGTGTCGAGTAAATTAAATCGCCCCTCTTTGAATGCTGCAACTCACCCAGTTGGCATAGATGACACCCTTAGATGGAATTAATCCAATTCTTGGAATTCGCCTCGACGATGTTCGTATGATTGGCTTCTATGGAATTGGAGGCATAGGCAAATCCACCGTTGCCAAGGCCATGTAAAATTAATGTTGGATCGGATTTCCTTTTCCAAGAAATTTTCGAGAACTACTCTGAATGTTGTTGACTGTCCCTAATGCCAAATTGATTTCCTAGGTTCAACCGGATTTTGACGGTCAGTGCTCCAACAAGAGCAAAAAATATAGCCACAAAGCGACGGACAAATTTATATGTATGCAAAAACACTAGTAATAGAGCTATAGAGCAGAAAAAAAACCAATACCTGAATACTACAGTCATGGCATCCGCAACACAGTTTTCCTTGCACAAGAGACAAGCACTTAACGTATTTGTTTTGATTCAATAATTTTGAACCCCAGTTTTATGAATGAACTTGATAGAGAAAAATGAAAAGAACAATTACAAGCCAGGGTGACCGATCGAGAGTGACGCGACATTAATGTCATATTTGTGCTGCTATGTGCTTGACACTGAAATGATCGCTTTTTAATAATGACTTGCACTAAAGTGATCGCTTTAAAAAAATTGGCACTCAAGCGATCACTAATTACAACTTTTAGACGACATCATTTAGGGGCTACATGCTGACTGGGCATGCCGGCGAGCCACGTAGGTCTGAGAAATTAATAAAATATGGCCATATCGGATTTCCAGCAACCCAAACCGAAGTTGGCATTTAAGTGATCGTTTTTTTTTTTAAAGTTGGCACTTAAGTGATCCGAAAAAAACTTTTGACACTAAAGTGAGCGCCGTACACAATTTTTGGCACTTCTAGTTTCCTTGTTCCCGTAACATGGTGAGCCTAGAGTCATCCCTTCTCGCCTTTTTAGTTCGTGAAAAAAAAAAAAAGACTAGACGATATTATGAGGAATTGGCCAAATGGTCAAATGTGATATGGGGAAAAATATCAAAAAAGTTATAAACCTATTGCATTTATGCCAGTTTAATCCTAAACATTTTAATTATGTCAATTGAGTCATAAAATTATTTACATTTTGTCAATTAAGTCCATCCGGCCAATTTTGGCTTGAAATCGCTAACTTGGATGCCGGTCGTCTTACGTGACACGGCCGAAGCTGACATGGATATTTTCTATAATGTTTTTAATTTTTTTTAATTTTTTTCCTTTTTCCATTTTTATTTTCTTTACTTATTTTTTTAACTTACAGCCAGCAAAGGTAAAAAAAAAAAGAAATGAAAGGAAAAAAAAAAGAAAAATAATAAAAAATTCAAAAATTTGGCCGTGCCATGTCAGTACTGGCCATGCCACATAGGATGGTCGGCATTCACGTCAGCGATTTCTGACCAAAATTGGCAAAAAGTACTCAATTGGCAAATCATAAAAAAATTTAGAACTTAATTGGCACAATTAAAAGGTTTATGACTGAATTAACATAAATACAATAAGTTTAAGACTTTTTTGGTAATTCTCCCGTTTGGTGTGGATATGATGAATCGTAAGTTTGTATCACAAGTTCCTTTTAATCCAAATAATCTTGAGGGTCGTGTCCACCAAATGTGACAGATGGAGTGATGCCCGATGCACATGGATGAAGCAGTTTGCGTGTATCGGTTAGATTATTAGCCGAGCCGAAGAATTGAATAGTCAGTGGTTATCCAGGAAGAAAGAGTCGACGCTGATATGATCAATGTTGAGTTGATAATTGAAAACGAAGGTATCGTGTTCAAGCGTAAAAAAGTCTCCTCCTTGCTTTATAATTCAATTTTCTGACTCAGTTCTTATCTCCACAATTGACACAAGTGAATATCGTCCCATAATTGTCAAAACAACGATTGCATCCCACCAATTGGAAACGATTTTCCACCTTACATTGTCGATACATAAAGGAAGCCGCCACTCCAAATCCATATATGTCCTCTTTGAAGCTTGAACACTCCTAGAAAAAAACCACATCGAGCACTCAACTTTGCCTTTGATTTCTCTCAAAACCCTAGGTCCATTTCTTCATTATCAATGTCTTCACACAATTCTTCATCATCATCATCTTCTTTCCCATTCAATGTCGAGCAAATTTCAAAAGCTTCTCGCGACAATGCACCTCCGCTTAAAGAAATCCCCGGAGGTTACGGCACACCTTTCTTCAGCGCGATAAAAGATCGTATCGACTACTTCTACAACCAAGGAAAAGAGGAGTTCTTCAGGTATCGAATGCACAAGTACGACTCGACTGTCTTCCGAGTCAACATGCCGCCAGGCCCGTTCATGGCCTCGAGCCCTAAAGTCATCGTCCTCCTCGACGCCGCCAGCTTTCCCGCCCTCTTTGACACATCCAAGGTTGAGAAGCGAGACGTGCTCGATGGCACTTACATGCCCTCCCTCGACTATTTTGGCGGTTACCGTGTATGCGCTTTCCTCGACCCATCCGAGCCCAAGCACGCTGTTCTCAAGCAATTCGTCTTCTCCATGCTCGTGTCTCGGCATGGGGAAATCGTCCCGCTCTTTAGGAATTGCTTGTCGGAGCTCTTCATCAACCTGGAAGATGAGCTAGCTAGCAAAGGCAAGGTATACTTCAATACCTATAGTGACAAAATGTCCTTTAACTTTGTGTTTAGGCTTTTCTGTGACAAAAAGCCACATGATGCAACAATAGAAACAAAAGGGTCAAAACTATTTGATTCTTGGTTGTTTTTCCAACTTGCCCCATTGATGACCCTAGGGTTGACTAAGGCCTTAAACTTTCTGGAGGACATACTACTACACACATTCCCACTGCCTCCATTATTAGTCAAATCTTATTACCAAAAGCTTTATAACGCCTTCAATGAGAATGCAACATCCATATTGGATGAAGCCGAGAGTTTAGGGATCAAAAGAGACGAAGCTTGCCATAACCTCATATTCGTTGCCGGTTTCAATGCGTATGGCGGGATGAAAACCACGTTTCCGGCTCTGATCAAGTGGGTCGCATCAGGAGGAGAGAAGTTGCATCGTCAGCTCGCTAACGAGATCAGATCAGTCGTCAAATTGGAAGGCGGGGTCACACTCGCTGCCTTGGACAAGATGAGCTTGACCAAATCGGTCGTTTACGAAGTACTGAGGATCGAGCCACCGGTCCCATTCCAATACGGGAAGGCGAGGTGTGATATGGTGGTCCGGAGCCACGATGCAGCCTTCGAGATCAAGAAGGGCGAGATGATTTTCGGATATCAGCCGTTCGCTATGAGAGACCCGAGGGTCTTCGACGATCCGGAGGAATTTCTGGGCCATAGGTTTATGGGGGAAGGAGAAAGGCTGTTGAAGTATGTGTTCTGGTCGAACGGTCGCGAGATCGACCATCCGACGGTGCGGAACAAGCAGTGCCCCGCGAAGGATCTGGTGGTGCTTTTGTGCAGGATCATGTTGGTGGAGATCTTCCTTCGTTACGACACGTTCGACGTCGACCCCGGGAAGTTGCCTCTCGGATCATCTGCAACGTTCAAGTCGTTGACCAAGGCCGCCACGAGTAATTGACCATGGTGATCAAAAGCTACTTCAAGAGCTGGTTGATAAAGTCTTACAGGTTAAATCAATCAGCATTGCTTTGTGTGGTAGGTACAAAACACTAGAAATGGGACATTGATGAGAAATTAGAGTTGTCCTGTTTTTTAAGAGTGTTTACTGCAAAAATTGCTGACATTCAATTTGTGGCTATCCTTCCTCAAGGCTTTCTTTGATTTATTATATGGGTAGGATGTACTATTAAATTTTGCAGGAAATCAAATTTACTTCAACTCAAACTTCTTGCAACGGGACAAAATAACATAATATATGCTCTATTAGCTTGATTCTTCCTCTTTTATAGAAGTTTCGTGTTTTCCAGGAGATTTCCATCGAAAATTTATGCAAAGTCAAAAAATAAAGATTGTCCAAAAAAGTTGTCGGACCGATGAGATACATGTTCCCGAAATTTTGCCCTCCCAAACTGCTTGCATCAAGATAAATAACTCGAGACATGCTATAATAGCTCGATCCATCCTATTTTCTAAAAGCTTCTGACATTTTTTATGAGATTCCTCTGTAAAATTTATGTAGAATCAAGAAAAAGATCGCCCAAAAAAGTTATTGGAGCGAACAGTGAGATTTATAAGGAAAAAAACATACATTATGGACTCATGGTGATAGCTTTAACTTTTTTAGCGATGATCCTTGTGCACGTGCTTTGAATCTGTCAATGCATGAATGCATCGAGGAAAACTTATTCTAAAGTTGCCTATCAAGACAAGACAAAGGCAACTAATGACACATCCAGCTATAGTGTATTCGTATCCCACAAGCACTAGAATGATAAATATTCCGGTACATAGGGTTTTGTCAATTCGAGGGAATTAATTAAGTTGAGTAAAATTAGAAATAACAATATTCAACAAGTTTTGAAAATTGTAGAAGTACCCGTTTTAAAGAAATCAATTACTTACAAGTTTTTAGAAATTTTAGGATCGGATTTTGTCTTTCTCTTGACAATCTCCCCGAGTGAATGTATCAAATTTCTGCTAGGCACTCTCAGTACACGTGGAATTGCCACGTCAGACTTTAACCATAATGTTAGATGAAATGTTAATGGAGTTAGATTTTGATATAAAGTGAAAGTTGCTAAAAAAAATTTTGAGACGACAAAAAGTTCAGAGTAAAATTCAAACTGAACTTACAGTTCGGATTTTTTTAGAAATCGGGCCGTCAATTGACAAAAGAGTCACCCGTGGGAAGGTGAACCCCAAGAACGAGCTAAAAAAGGACCACTCTCACGACTATGCAAAGGCTCCTTCCTCATTAACAGAAACTTGACTCTCACTTAACAAAATAGAATTATGCAACTTGGCCGCTTCAACTATTTAGGCGCAGAATGGAAGATGATAGAGGAGGACAAGAGAATTCCTGTCACGCCCCGAACTCCACGAGCGCGCGATCATTCCTCCATTGTCGCAATGTACGCGACATCCCAGGACTTGTCGCCGACCCAATCGAAACACTAACGAGTAATGCATGCGGAAGCAACCTCGAACTCTCCGTACAATATATAGACAACGGGATAATAGAGAGACAAAGAATACACATCAACAAGATACTTTTATAAACATAACATCGATTACAACACATACATTTGCAAGCCTTCTACGAGGCCACTATCTACGAACCACGCACACCAACAAGGATCGGGTGGTTGGTAAGTTTAACTCCTCTACAAAAAGGGGCACTCAAAAGATGGGGTAACTCGACCTATCCTCAATCTTCGTTGTATCCTGGCAGCGTCTCCGGATCAATCACGGTTGCGGGTCTGAAATGGTTTGGTTATACAACCATGAGAACACTTCTCAATAAGCAACTACCTAAGCCTCGCTTAGGCCAAAGCGTACTTCCGAACAATTCTAAACATGCGATTCAAACAATCGACGTGCCATAAACAATCACAGGCGTCCTTACCTCACCTTGGCGCATACACAAGTCCTGCAAGTTAGAATATCGCCATAACATGGCTAATTGCCCATCAAGCACGCGCAAAGCAATTCATGGCATGATCAAGCATAACATGGTTAATAATCCAGACGTGCTCATCAATTAACTCAGGCAAAGCATTCCCCAATGCAAATCGCACTCATTAAGTCCAGATTATTAACGAACCCTTGGGCCACCGAACTCCCGCCGGTCTTCTGGCGTAACCAGGCATCGTCCCGTTACTTCAGCGAAGGCAACGTCCGGAACCCCCGCCCAGACGGCATTCCACAAAGGAGCATCGATTCGGCCTCCACCGCGATCGGCAACGTCTAGAACCCCCGCCTAGACGGCATCCGAACCCCCGTCGGACATCGTCTAGAACCCCCGCCTAGACGGAACGTGTTGTGACCATGCACACACCTCAGCAATCATTACTAATTCTTATCTTTATAAATTAGCCCAATGTCAACTAAATCCGTCAAAACGCCATGATAACACCGAATAATTCTCGAGAGAGAGAAAAATCGAGAATATACAAAATCGGGCCCAAACTGGGCAGTTGCGCAGTGAAAGAAATCCGTTTAAAATAAATAGTAAACCAATTCCAAAAATTATGAAATTTTGGATATGTCGTATAAAACATCTTGATAAACATTTTCCGTGAAGAATTCGAAACTCAGTTCCAACTGTAAACACCTCTTTTTGTCACTTGAAGTCAGACGAAATTCGACCCGTCCTGTCAGGCCGCCTGACCATAAAAATGCATCTCATCCAGTACCCAAATCACTTTGGAAAGCCTTGAAATTTTTATATGTCATAGAAACGAATGTTCTTAACAATTTTTGTGAAGAAAGTTTGTTGAAAAGAGGTCTGGAAAAATTTATAGAAAATCGGAAAGACCAGAAGGTCGGGTGAACAGTAAATCCGGCGGACTGAATTCGGTCCCAAAAATGGACTTACGAATGGCATTAAATGATCTCCAAAAATTTCAGATTTAATGTATGTCATACTACAAGATGTCATGAGCAACTTTCATGAAAAACATTTCCTCAAATTCGGCCCACACAAGTCACAGTACAAATAGTAAAATCCAGCGACGCAGCAGCAACTTTACCGGAAATCAACCAACAAGCACCACCAAGCAAACCAAGCACAACCAGCCACTAAACCAACTATCCACAGCCCTTAAACCATCCCTAACATGTCCATTAGTCACCCCTTAGCCTAGTCAAGGGTTAGGAAGCCACTTACACTTAGCTTAAGCAAGAAAACCCAGAAGAAAAGGCAGCAGCAACTCCGGCGGTGAGCTGAGCTCACGATGGCTGAATGGCGTGGCTGTGGTGATCAGCGAGCAGCTGGTCTGGCGGGATGAAATGGAGAAGCAAGAAGCCGCAGAAGCCAAAGGAAGCAAAAGCAAAATGAAGGAGCCGAAGAAGCAAAGAAGAAATAGAAGGGAAGACGAAGTAGCGGCGGCGCTGACAATTGAAGGACGAAGCGGCGGCAACGTGGGGCGAAATGAAGCGAGAAACGGCGGCGGGCGTGGGGGTGGTCAGCAAAGCAGCAGCAAGGGACAGCAGAAAGCAATAATTGAGCAGCAAGGGAATGAGTGGAAGTCAGTCACAGCAGAGGGAAAGCAGAAGCAGCAGCAGCAAGCAACGTAGGAGCAGAAGCAGTCAACCAACATGATCAACAAGAGCAGAAGTCAGCAGAACAGAGGCATGGCAGCAGCAGCAAAGCAGAGGCAGCAGCAACGTGGGGAGTCAGCTGAAGCATGGAGAAGTGATGATGGCTGGTGGAGTTGGTGGAAGAAGTCAACAGCTGTAGCAAAGGTAGAAACAACGTGGGGGAGGGCAGCGGGGAAAGAGGAGGAAGTCAGCGGCGTGGGGCAGCGGCGACGTGGGGGAGGAGAGAGAGGGAGAGAGAGAGAAGAGAGAGAAAGTCAAACGCACTTGAGTGCGATCCGACGATCCTCATTCAAATCCGAAAACGATTCAACGGCCAACGAAAAACCCTAATTATAAATTAGGAAGAAGGCCAAAAGATAATAACTAAAACACACTATGAGGGAGGTCTACTAGTCCAAATTCGCACCCGGTCCAAATTTCACTTTTCACTTATCCCGGGCAATATTGACGCTGGCCACAATAATATCGACACCGTCCAATTAAATTTGTCACGACACTCCGAGAAATTCGACACCAAAGTTCGGGCTCTAAATAACGGCCAAATTTGATCGAGTACGATTCTAGCAAAATCTCTAATTTAAAAAAAAAATAACCCAAGAGTGATCAGTTCCGGGTGAGATTTTATTATAAGCGCACTGACGAATTACACGTTTTATAAATCCCAAAAATGGGCCGAAATTCGGAATGTCACAACTCTTCCCCCCTTACAAAAATTTCGTCCTCGAAATTTACAATCCAACCCAACTATTCGAACAAATGGGGGTATTGGTGTCGCATCAACTCTTCGCTTGCCCATGTCGCACTTTCGGTTCCATGATGCTCTCAAATCACCTTGACCATCGGAATTGTCTTGTTCCGCAACACTCGCTCCATTCTGTCCTCGATCCGTACTGGCTTTTCCACGTACGACACTTTGTCGTCCACGTCTATTTCTTCGTAATTTAGCACGTGGATCGGGTCCGGTTCATATTTTCTTAGCATAGACATGTGGAACACATTGTGCACATGGGATAAATTCGGCGATAGTGCGAGACAATAGGCTAAGGTGCCAATTCTCTCTAAGACCTCAAATGGACCCATGTACATCGGGCTCAACTTTCCTTTCTTGTCAAGCCGTGACAATCCTCTCATCGGCGACACCTTGAGGAAAACATGATCCCCCACTTGAAATTCCAAAGGCCTACGTCTCCGGTCCGCATAATTCTTTTGGCGGCTTTGAGCGGTCTTAAGCCTATCCCGAATTACCTTGACCATTTCGACTGACTGCTGAACCAACTCGGGACCCGTGATGCTCCTCTCACCAACTTCGTCCCAACAAACCGGTGTTCTGCAAGCTCTGCCATATAGCGCTACAAATGGTGCCATTCTGATACTCTACTGGTAGCTATTATTGTAGGCAATTCAACCAAATGCAACTGTTCCTCCCAGCTACCTTTAAAAATCCCAGTACACATGCCCGTAGCATGTCTTCCAAAGTCTGAATCGTCCTTTCAGATTGGCCATCCGTTTGGGGATGATAGGCCGTGCTAAACTGTAATTTCGTTCTTAATGCCGTATGAAGACTTTTCCAAAAAGCGGCAGTGAATTTAGGATCACGGTCTGAGGTAATCGTTACTGGCACT